TGGGGTAGTGGACCTGCTCCCCTATAGGGGTGCAACTGTGCCTTCACCTGTAGATCTCTAAAACAAATACTACAAAGATGGTGCGAGTCCCCCAGGTAAACATTACGCCTTAAAACTTTGCGGGGTCAATTAATCTTGATGACGTCACATCTGAGGAAGGAGAGAGAGGCGTTCAAATCCGAGATAACTAATCGTATTGCACATCTAGAAAAATTACACAAAGACATGGGAAACAATAAGATTTATGGACAACTTACTGCAGAACGAAAATTATTGGAGTCACTGGAATGTTCCCGGAGACAGAAAAATCTTATTTACCTAAAACAAAAATATTGGACCAATTCCCGCAAATCGTTAAAGTTATTATCCTGGAGGGTTAAGGACAAGAAATCATCCAGATTTGTGACAGCAACATGTGACTCAACAGGGAAAATACACACCAAATCTGGAGCTATAAATCAACTTTTGGGGGATTTTTATCCTTATATTCTTCGACCAAACCAAACCTTAATGACATCAAAGCATATCTCTCTTCCAACATCCATATCAAGTAACTTTTGACCCGCATCTCCCACCGATTTCCCCTGCGTCTTTTTGATCCTTATTTTTTTTCAATGTTTTAAATATTTCTCAATGCGATCACCTTCCTAGCAGATGCCTCCCGCCACACAGTGACCTTTGCACCATGCTCCATGGTGGCTGCTCTATGGCCAGTTGTGCTGTATGGCTTTGTGCTTGGCAAGCAGATCCCCATTAAAAACACATAGTAATAGCCTATCCACTCCAGGGTGGAAGACTGTTCAGTGACTCTCTCGACAAGATCCTGGTGGAAACTACAAATAATAACAGGGCCATGCCCAAGAGTTCATGGAAGGACGATAGGAAATCATTTCCATCTCATTCCTTTCGTTCCCATCACACCTTATTCTGGATTAGACCAGATCAAAGGAGGGCCCAGTGCTCAAGCACCTGAAGCCCCTTTTAAGAGACCCCCCATGCCGATAGATTATCCCAGCTTCAGTCCTACAGGGTCAACAAGCCTGATTGGCTGGTCAAGCAAGGAAACCATGATGCCAGAGACATTCCTGAGGATGGCTGGCTTCAGGAATTCCATCCCAGTAGCCTCAACCAGACCATTGCGTTCTGCAAGCTGTCCAGTCTGGCTGTGCCATAAAGATGCACAGTTTTCCCAGACTGCCTCCTTCAGTCTCACAGATCGCTCTCTCTCTCTCTCTCTCTCTCAAAAAAAGGACACTTCCTAAAGCTATGAGCCAGTGCCCTCCTGCGAGCATTGCTCAGGAGTTTACTCTGTATTTTTCTCGGTGCCCAAGAGAAACAGGGACTGGCCATTTTCAACCTGAAGTATGTGAACAGGTCACTTCCACACAGAGACCCTATGATCCATCAGACCTCCACCTATCTCACGGAAGCCTGCTGACTAATTTCTATCCTTCTAGGAGGTTTCTCCAGTTTGCCTCCAGTTCAGGGTTCTTCCCTCTGGCCTAGCATTGGCTCCTTGGGTCTTATCCAAGGTCATAAGAACATAAGAGACGCCAATGTTGGATCAGGCCAAAGGCCCATCTAGTCCACCACTCCGTCACACAGTGGCCAAAAATACCAGTGCCATCAGGAGGTCCACCAGTGGGGCCAGGACATTAGAAGCCCTCCCACTGTTGACCCCCCCCCAAGCACCAAGAAGACAGAGCATCACTTGCCCCAGAGCCCCTATCTATACCTTGTGGCTAATAGCCACTGATGGACCTCTGCTCCATATGCTTATCTAATTCCCTTTTGAAGCCGTCCATGCGTGTAGCCGCCACCACTTCCTGTGGCAGTGAATTCCAAGTGTTAATCACTCTTTGGGTGAAGAAGTACTTCCTTTTATCCGTTCTAACCCGACCGCTCAGCAATTTCATGGAGTGCCCACGGGTTCTTGTATTGTGAGAAAGGGAGAAAAGTACCTCTTTCTCTACCTGCTCTTTCCCATGCATAATCTTATAAACCTCGATCATGTCACCCCTCAGTCGTCTTTTCTCCAAGCTAAAGAGCCCTAAGCGCTTTAACCTTTCCTCATAGGGAAAGTGTTCCAACCCTTTTATCATTCGAGTTGCTCTTTTCTGCACTTTTTCCAAAGCTATAATATCCTTTTTAAGGTGTGGTGACCAGAATTGCACACAGTATTCCAGATGAGGTCGCACCATTGATTTATATAGCGGCATTATGATATTGGCTGATCTGTTTACAATACCCTTCCTAATAATCCCCAGCATAGCATTGGCCTTTTTTATTGCAGCCACACACTGTCTCGACCTTTTCAGTGAGTTATCTACTACGACTACAAGATCTCTCTCTTGATCAGTCTCTGCCAGTTCAGACCCCATCAACGTGTATTTATATTTAGGATTTTTGGCTCCAATGCACTTGGCCACATTGAACCCCATCTGCCATGTTGACGCCCACTTGCCCATCCTTGACAAATCCCTTTGGAGTGCCTCACAATCCTCACTGGTTTTCACCACCCTGAACAACTTCGTATCATCCGCAAATTTAGCCACTTCACTGCTTACTCCCAACTCCAAATCATTAATGAACAAGTTAAAAAGCAGTGGACCAAGTACTGATCCCTGCGGTACCCCACTGCTTACCTCCCTCCACTGAGAAAATTGCCCATTTATACTCACTCTCTGTTTTCTATT